TATATATATATATATGAGAGAAAGATTTACATGTATACCACTCATATATACAACCCCTAAACTTCAATATTTTCACTTCTTCAAAGTTAAAAAAGTCATATTTTTCATGTAATATGAAAGATTTGAGGGGCATAAATGTAAAAATTAGCATTTAGGCATTAGCAATGTAACCACAAAGAAAGATATCCCCATAAATAATCTATGAGTAATAAAGATAATTAATAAAAAAATTCATATAAAATAATCTATGCATTTACATACATAGCACACATTTTTTATGTATTTATATATTTCACACCTAAGCTTTCATATTTAGACACATACAAGTCAAATTTTTACCATCACATTAAAAAATAGTACATTTGCCACTTTTTAAACATAAAATGCACATTTTTTAAAACACCAAAATATTACATATGTAAATATGAGAGTTTAGATATGAAATATATAAATACACAAAAATTGTGTGATATGTATGTAAATTTCCCAAAATAATAACCATTAGGCAATATTAGCCATGTTCACCACTGAACCCTCTGAAGCTCTGTATAACTTCATCACCAATCTCCTCTTCTTCATCTTCTCACCTTTGCCACCATTACAGAACTTAAAAGAAAAGCTTCTTGCGACATAAATACTAAGGCGGTGTTTGGTAGCATACTACAATTTTCACGCGTTCCTTCTTTCACTTCTCTCGTTCCGTCGTCTTTAGGACGTGAATTTGTTGATTGCTAGACGGATTTATGCCGCAATCGCTCGCAATTTCTTCCGTTCCGGATGTATAGGAATCTAAGATGCAGCCAAGCACCGCCTTCGAATCACCAATAATCTCCACATGAACAAATCCCTCCCTTAAAATGATGAAACCGATTTGAATCTCTCACAACAATCTCTCTCTCTGTAATCCTCGAAATATACTTCGTGGCATTATGACAATCTCCACAGACTCTCAAATTCTTAAAAATATAAATCCTGCTCCCCTTCTCTGTGCTTATGATTCCAAAAACCATAGCCAATCTCTCACTATGAGAGCTTAAAATACTCTCCTTCTCATCATCTTCCACATCCTGCAACACAAAACTGTAATCTGGAACATAACCAATCTGCTTCATCTTCTCCATTAACCTCACCAACTCTCTGTAAATCTCTCCATACCGAGCATGAGACCGATCCCCTGTAAAAAAAATGCTAACTTTATTATCCACTTCAATGGAGCTCCACCCTGGTGTCTTCCACAGACCCCTTTCTTCTACCAGAGATCGAATTCGATCAACTCCCTGCCATTCCCCGTTCCTCGCGTATAAATTAGATAGCAACACGTAGTAGCCGACGTTCTCGGAATCGAATTCAAAGAGCCATTTTGATGCCAATCTCCCTAATTCAACATCTCCATGGATCCTACAGGCAGCCAGAAGTGCTCCCCAAACTCCTCCATCAGGCTTTAATGGCATCTTCTCTATCAGTTTATAGGCTTCATTCAGAAACCCAGCTCTGCCTAACAAATCCACCATACATGCATAATGCTTCACCATTGGCTCAATTCCATACCTCAACTTCATCAACTGAAAGCATTCTCGTCCCTCCTGAACTAGTCCTCCATGGCTGCAAGCTGAGAGCAGTGAAACGAAGGTGACATGGTCTGGTCTAACTCCTTCCTTCTCCATCTCTGAAAACAGCTCCAATGCCCTCTTGCCTTCCCCGTGCGACCCGTGCCCGGCAATCATGGCGTTCCAAGGACCGGAGCTGGTTGTTCTCGGCATCATGGCGAACAGCGCTGCCGCATCGGCCAAGCTACCACATTTCGCATACATGTCGACTAGACACGTGGCAACGAACAAGTCGGAATTCAGACATTGTTTGATGGTGTCCCCATGAATCTTCATCCCTTTTCGTAGAGCTCCGACATGCGAGCAGGCAGGGAGTACGCCTGCAAATGTTCCTTGAACTGGTTTCAGTTCTTCTTCCTCCCTTCCCATGCATTCATAGAGCTCAATGGCCTCATTGGCAAATCCATTCTGCGAATAACTCGCAATCAAAGTGTTCCATGAGATCACATCTCTTGTGCGCATTTGATCAAACATAACTTGTGAAGATTCAATTTTGTTCATCTTCCCATACATGTCGATAATCGCATTGCCGACAAATATGTCATCCTCATCCCATCCTCTGCGCACGAAAAAACCATGAATTGAGCGGCAATTCAGTTCGTGTCGGATCTGAGCGACTGCGGAAGCAAGACTAACCACTGTCAGAACATCAGGATTAAGTTTTTGGTTCTTCATCAAATCGAAGAACTCGAACGCAGCGGTTGAATCGCCGGATTGTTCGTAGGCGGCGATCATGGTGTTCCAAGTAACCAAATCTCTGCAATCCATTGAATCGAATACATGACGTGCGTAATTCAGACAATTAAGCTTGCTATACATATCAATCAAAGCATTTGACACAAAAATATCAGAATCCAAACCATGCTTTATGCTATAAATATGCAGAGCCATACCCATTAGCAAGTCATTGAGTGAAGCAGAAAGAGGAAGAATGGTTGAAACAGTAACTTTATCCATAAAAGCTCCCTCTTTTATCATCTGGTTAAGAACTTCAACTGCATCATCTTCCCTCCCATTCTGGCAGAGCACAGACAAGATAGCATTCCAGCAACCTGAATCTCTAAGCGGCATTTCATCAAACACCTTCTCTGCATGATCCACCGACCCAAACTTTGAATATTCACCGATCAAAGAAGAGGAGACGAACACATCGGTATCAAAACCCATTCTTTTTATCAAAGAATGCATCTTTTTGACATCTTCTAAGGATCTGCAGGATTTAAGGGCGACGGGGAAAGTGAAGGAATCGGGGCGAAGAGCGGGGAGGGAGAGGAGGCGGTGGAAGCAGAGAAAAGCTTCGGCGAGGAAGCCATGGCGGACGAAGGAGGAGATCATGGAGTTATAGGAGAAGATGTTGTGTTTGGGTACTGCGTTGAAGGTGAGAACGGCGGCGGAGATGTCGCCGAGACGAGAGTAGAGGTTGAGGAGATCGGTGGAGAGAAGAATGTCGGCTGACTGGCCGGAGATGAGGAGAAGAGCGTGGAGAATGCGAGATGAGCGGAGCGAGTTGCAGGAGAGGAGACGGCGGTGAAAGTTCATCTTGTGAAGTGGGCATTGTCGGAGATGGAGAGCGGGTTTGAAAAATTAGAATTATTTAAGAGTGAAGTGTTAAAATAGTCCCCATTATTTGCATATTAAAAAATAGTTCATATAAAAATATTTCACATATTACCTTCTTAGTTTCAAAATTTAATGCTCTATTTTATATCTCAAAATACAAGAAAGTATACATCATATTATACATGTAAATCATATAATGCGCAGGCGAGGGTATGTCGACCTCCTGGCACGAAAACGTGAGACACAAGGCAGGCACAGGTGTGCCACGGCCAGAGCACGGGTGCGCTCGGGCAAATCCCCACCTTGGTGCCCTAGACACGTATCAAAGGGTCTTGATAGACATCTTTCGACTATGGGATACCACACATGAATAAAACATAATCCCATAGGTTCGAATGACAGTCTCAAATGTGTGACATCAGAATCAATGCCAATGAACATCATTTAAAGCTTGCAAACAAGCTTGTTAAGAAGATTGATAAATAGTTTCATTTAAAGTTCATAAATAAGATTGATTTAATGCCTATGAATAAATTCAATTAAAGCTTAACCTAAGTTATTAAATAAGCACAATTAAAGCTTAATTTAAATTCATTTATATTAAATGAAATTATATTTTAATTTATAATCCATAAAACAACATAAAAGCTTATTTGTTAAGTTGTTCATTTAATTAATGTATTTTATACTTATTTTAGTTATTCATTTAAAAACTCATTTAAATTTTTTTTTGTAAGTTCAACACCTCATTTATAAGCTTGATAAAACTCATTTGATTAAGAAATATATAGCTCAACCACACTAATCATCTTGCTCCATAAGCCTTATTTAGTGAGAAAATAAATAACATGATAATACTATTTTTAAGTTGTTCAATAAATTTTATTTGGATGGAAATTGAGTACCTCGATAATGTACTCATTACTCTGCTTGATAATAACTCGATTATCATCAATATGAAACGAACAAGAATCAAACTCAACTTTGAACTAAACTTGAACAAAACACAATGAGGAAGAAATAGTTCATCTTTGAGTAGATGTTGAGCCAAGCCAAACATTCTGAGAGGAATCCAATGAGGAAGAAATAGTTCATCTTTGTGTGTGTAGAGAGAGAGAGAGAAGGCTATCATTATCATTCTAATTTAAGGAAAAAATATCACCTTTTGCTCATGGTTGTGAAATAATGGAGGAGACATGGAAACCATTTGCCTTCTGCTCATGGCTCATTTGATGATGATTTATCTGCTTTGTTTTTTTTAACATTATGACATATAAAATCTTATATTGTGCAGGAAACTTTACCATGACTTTGCTATCATGGATACCATACTTGCAAAGAAATTCATTCAATGCAAGGGAGGATAAAAATCACTTTTTTACTCATTTGATGATGATTTATCTGCTTTGTTTTTTTTTAACATTATGACATAAAATCTGATTTTGTGCATGAAACTTTACCATGACTTTGCTATCATGGATAACATACTTGCAAAGAAATTCATTCAATCCAAGGGAGGATAAAAATCACTTTTTTTTATATAAAAAATACAGTAGTAATATTCAATTAAATCAAAACATGAATGGGAAGATGAGGAGTTCAAATGTCATTTGAGGGGCAAGAATCTCAACCCGGACGATGAACATGGATTTTGGCTAGACCAAACATGCGGATCAGGAGAACATGGAACGACCATTGTGGGATCGTTTCATAATTTTTCTTCATAATCCGTGTGCGCACACCGGCAAACTTGCCGTGGAATGCTGACTTGGTTAGACTCATTATGTTCCTATAGAAAATCAAAATTCAAAGGCAGTTCAATAATAATGATAATTATTCATGGGAAAATGTAAAGTGTTTACTCCATTACAAGTATCTGTGTTCCACCAATCCATTTTACATATAGAGTGATGTTTTTTTTCCAAGCAAAGCGTAAATAATAATCTATACTAATTATCTTGAGTTGCTTAAGATGCAAGTCTGAAGCTTTCAGAACAAATCATTCTTAGATACAAGCAAATTATAAGAAAAATGTTGCATTCCTGAATGAATAGGCAAATAAGATGCTATGATTAATTCCTCCAAACTTGTCATATCCTTCCAGACCAAAAGAGAATGTCTTTGGATTCAATACCTGCTGACATCATAAGCACTTCCAATTCCCAAGAAAACATGTGATGAAAATAATGAATAGGGATAGATAGGGAACTTATAGAAGGAAAAAAGGGATCCATCCTGGGATGAGATGGTAACCAAAGCTTGATTTAAAGACTGGAAGGAAGAATTGAAGTTTTATTATCCCTCCCTTTTTCCCACTTCTTGTTCATCTAGTGCCATGCATGTTTAAGATATAATGCATCAATCATCAATTTAAATATGATGTTAATTAAAATATTATTTCAATACAAAGTGAGTATTTTCCCAATAAATGAAATAGCTGGTATATTTATAGGGCATATGAAGCTATATATATATATATATATATGACAACAGCATGTGTCTATCCACTCCATATGTGCTAATTCGAGCCAAATGGAATTGAACCTGGGATCGAGGGGACTTACGCCGAAGCTGCCAACCAACAAGTCATCAATTGCGAACTTTCTATATATATATATTCATGCATAACTAGATAGAGAGAGGGAGAGAGAGGGAAACCCAAACAGAAAAAATTGAACCAAATTGCCGGGCCATCCAATGTAAGGAGAGTCCACACATAATTTCTTAAAGAAACCAAGCTAGCCATATCATCATCTTGAAATACATAGCAAACATAACATATAGTTAGCAATGCATATAAAAAAAAATAAATAAATAAATAAAAAATCATATATATATATAAAACAATGTAAAGGAAAACCTGATCTTATTCCTCAAAATATATTTATTTTGTTTGTTCATAGATTTAACATGCACTTCTACACACCATATTCTACATTATTTTATGTATAAATCAAAACACATGCTTGCAAAAATGCACAAGTTTTTTGAGGTAAAATCCAAGATCGTGAATTGGCATGCTTGCTTAAGCAGTTCTCCAAGGAATCCACAAAGAAGACATTGCAGGTTACACCTTAGTGATCTTATGAAATCAACTTCATATTGCAACAAATTCCTCCAAAGTATGAAATGTTTTGCATTGTAACTAGCTATAGAAATCTAAAAAATTTAGTCAATCGAATCAATTGCATATGGAATGATACCGGCTGGTTTCTTCCATCTTGTCGATGACTGAAAATTCAATGGGCTACAATTCATTAGTTCTGTAATTAGCTAACACCTAAACTTTAAATTTTACAGTTATAACACCCAAGAATTTCATGTCACATCGAAAATACCACCATTGTAACTTAGAAAAAAAAAACAAATGAGTAATAATGTAACGAGCAACCAAGTACCTGACAATGCAATAATGATCATTGACGTAAACATGCCATGGTTAGTTATCATTACTTATAAGTAAATAAAAGCAAGTAGGAGTGCACTTATGGGCTTATATTGAGTAAATCATTTAATTTTTAATTAAATTCATGCTTACTGTATACATGTGCAGCTGCCCATATCAAGTTCTAAATTCTTTGAATATCATGACAATGAAAAAATTTCTTCGAACTCTTTGATAAGTGACAAAAATAAATTTTATGCTACAAACATGGAAATACAATCCTACTGGCCTCTCCTAAGCTTTTCTCCATATTAGATATGAATGTGAGATCCTGTAACTCAATATTAATTGCTTCAGCCAATTGTTCATAAAATCTTCGCCATGTAGTCTTTGAATCATATCCAGCCATAGCAACTGCAAAGGTAAACTAACCATTATTGCCATCCAAAGAAGTTTTGGATAATAATACATCTAAATATTTTGATTTTAGGTGGCAAGCATCAATTCTAATTAGATGTCGGCAACAAACTATAAAACCATCAATACAAGTGTTAAAGATCATAAAGAATCTCTTAAATGAATAGTCACAATCATCATGTGTATACAATATGTGTACCAAGATTCTTAATAATAAGTGTTTGGAACCCACTTGTGTTGTCATCAACTACAACTATAATACATGCGGCTTCGTCTCATGATTGCCCCAGCTTCATATATGGTATATTTTTTATACCATCATATTTTTGTAAATTGATCCTTGGACTTCCAAAGCAACGTGTCTTGTTGGTTTTTTCCTTTTAAGTATCTAAGAATCCACTTCACCACCTTCCAATAATGTTTGTCTAGATTACTCATGTACCCTCTGACCACTCCCACCACAAGTGTAATATCTGGTATTGTACATATCATTGCATACATCAAACTTTCAATTGTTGAAGCATACAGAGTTCTTCTCATCTAATTTGCTCTATTTCAGACTTAGTTAATTATTCCTTAAATAGCTTAAAGTACATTCTCAACATATTCTGCCTGAGAAAACTTCAAAGTATCTACACTCCAGTCCTTTTATATTATCAAATCGAGGAGTTTTTTTGTTGGACCTAAATCCTTCATTTCAAACTCCATCAATATTTGCTCCTTTAAGTCTTTGATCTTCTTCATATCCGTTCCCGCAATTAGCATGTCATTCAAAAGTTAAAAAAAAATATAACAATTATCAAATTCTTTAATAAAGCAACAAAATTTGCCTAACACTTTGTGTCCCAACTGTATGGCATAAACCTATCAAATCTCCTATACCACTTTCTTGGGATTTGCTTTAAACTATAAAGACTCTTCTTCAGTTTACAGACTAGTGAAATTTGATATCTCCGTGGTTGCATCATATGCAATTCCTCTTCTAAGCCACCACCATCTAAGAAGTTTGTTTAATCCATCTGCTTCAGATGTAAATCTTTCGTTGCTACATAGCTCAATACAACTCTAATAATTTTGATCTTAACTACAACAACACAACAACAACAGCAAAGCCTTAATCCCACTACGTGGGGTTGGCTACATGAATTCTTTTTCTCCATTGTGTCCTATTTAGTGTCATATTTTCATTTAGTTCTAGTAAATTAAGATCATTTTTAATACAATAAGCCCAAGTCTTCCTAGGTCTACCTCTGCCTTTCTTAACACAAGTCGAATCTAAAACATCTACTCTCCTAATCGGATCATCAGATGGTCGACGTTTAAATTTTGATCTTCACCATAGGAGAAAATATATCTGTGTAGTTTACTCCATTTTGTTGAAATCCTCCAAAATAAGCCTCATCTTGTAACGCTTGCAACTATCCAACTCTTCTTTCATCCAGTAAATCCACTTGTTGGGCAATGTCTTTTTGTTATATGATAATTCTGTCAAATATCATGTATGATTTGATATTAATGGCATCATCATAACACTTTGGCTCACCGCTATCAATTAACAATAAATAATACAAGGAAAGAGAATATATCTTTATCGGTTGTGTGATTCTATTAAACCTTCTAACTTTCATAGCAGGTATTTGAGGAATTTTTTGTGCTTCATCATATTGAGCACCTTTACCATCATTATCTTTTATCTCAATATACTTGGAGGGTTCTTCAAAAGTAACTGATGGACAATCCCGAGTCATATTTATCTCCTTGTATATTTTCATTTCATTAAAAATAATATCTCTGCTATCAATGAATTTATGATTTTAATAATCCAAAATTTTATACCCAAATTCAGCCAAGTTATTCCCAATGAAAGTGCACTTGACAGACTTTAGCTGAAGCTTACTCCCGGATTTTGGATCAACATAAACATATGATGAACAACCAAATACTTTCTAGAGAGATAAATTTACCTCTTTATTATTTCAAACTTTTTCAGGTAATCCTTCATTTAAAAATACTGACGGACCACAATTAATCAAATAAACTATAGTGTTCACTACTTCTGCTCAAAACTGTTTTGGCAAGCCTGTATGCAATCTCATGCTCCTAGCACTCCCTGTGATGATTTTATTCATGCGTTCTGCAGCACCATTCTTCTATAGTGTCTTTGAAATGGTGAACTAATACTTCATTCCTCTTAAAGCGCAATAACTCATAAACATTTAACCACGATACTTTTCATCATTATCTGATATGAGACGCTTCAACTTCATGTCTTTCTCATTCTCAACCATGACTTTCCACTTCTTAAACACTTCAAATATATCAAATTTATGTTTAAAGAAGTACACACATACCTTTACGATGTGATCATTAATGAAAGTGACAAAGTATTGAATCAACAATTAGAATAGGACCTCATATATCAATTTGCGCTAACTTCAACTTAATTGACTTCATCTTTGATCCACTTTATAGAACACAATATTTGTTTTCTTGTTATGAACACAATCTTCACAAAAATCTATATCTACAGATTTCAAATTAAAAAGTTTATTCGTAGAAAAGAGGGACTTCATATATTTCAAATGCATATGGCCAAACAAGTGGTTCCATAGACCTACATCACTTTTTGTTCCATCCATACTAATTGAATCAGTTGTCTCATCGATCAAATAAAAAGGTGCTCTCCATGTTATCTTGAGCACCATCATTACCACTTTAGCCAACTTCAATAAATGTGAAACTAGTCGCATACCTATCATGCGAGCTGACTCATAGCAATTAAATTTCTCTTCAAACATGAAACATATCTAATTTCATTGAGCTTCCAAGTTGAATCATTTGACAACTAGATACCAACATTATCATTTTCAATTATATTACAGGGCTCAATATCTCCCAAATACACATTTCTTAGATCACTTTAGGTGTAGTTTTTAAACACCTCTTTCTTAAAGCATGCATGCAAATAGGTTCTTGAATCCATTATGCATGATTTAGTATTAAATAAGGACAAAACAAAGGGGTCATCTTGGATTTCATACGTGGACATACTTTTAAAAGCTTTCTACCTAGACCTCCACCACCAACCTTCTTTGAAGCTTTGCAATCCTTCTTAAAGTTGCATTTCTTTTTGCAGTTCCAACAATCACCTATAACATTTCCTCTTTCTAACTTGACATTTCCTCCACTAGACTTGAATCTTTCTTCGTTTGTATTTCTATCAAGATTCATTCCTCTATTTTCAACTTTCATAGCAAAAATTAAAATTTCACAGCTCGCCTTCTTACAAACTTTTCATTCAACATTAACTCCACCATATCATCAAAATTTAACTTCATATTAATTGTATAGTTAATCACCGCAGTAACTAGTCCATCCATCTATTTGGCCATGACAATAGGATTAATAGTACCCTGACATTGTCATTGAACTTGAAGCCAACATAATGCAATTAATTAGTCATAATATTAATATTATTCAAGTGCCCAGCCACTGGACCATCCACCATCCTCATATTGAATAATTCTCTCAATCAAAAAACTTTATTAGAAATCGAGGAATGCTCATACATCATCGTTAAGGTGGCCATGAGATCATCTGCAGTCTTCTCATTCACATTGTTGAAAGCAATAAATAAAGAAAGTGAAAGTTTGATCAAACTTAGTATTGTTCAATCAAGCAATTTGTATTCTTACAGAGTTATTTATTACAACTTCTTGGCGATTCTTTCCAGTGGCAAATAGAATTTCTTTTGATTCAATAAATCTTCATTTATATTTTTCAAAAAGAAAATTCGAACTGTTGATCTTTTCCACCTTGTGCCCTCGCTTGAATCAAAGAACTACAAAAAAAAACCTGCTCTGATATCACTTGTTAAGAAAAATATACAAAAATCTTGAACACCAATTCAAGAGATCTAAAACAAAATTTAGAACAGAAGCACTTCGCTCCTCTCTCCTTCACACAAAATCCTTCCTTCAACACACGAGCACTTCACGCTTTTTTCTCACAGCAAAAGATGAAATATAAAGTCCTAAAATGCAGAATTTTAGTTACATCTCTAGGTGTTGGTTTTCCAGGTGCACTGTTCTAGGGAACATTTCGGGTGCGGCAACGCCACCCCTGAGCATTGAGTTTTTGGCACACTGTTCTTGGGCATCTAAGCGCCTCCACTAGTGCTGGGTTCCTATAACCAGGCATCGCCTAGGGGTTGGCCACCCCCCTTAGCCCAATCAGGCCCCACATATAACACGGGATTTACTAAATCCAGATTTATAGGATTAATTAAATCCTGCTATTCCATCTATTGCCAGACAGCCCCAAAAGATGCAAGCATAGTAAAGCTGGAAACATTGGAGTAACCATCTAAAAGTTCTATGGCGTATACCATAACTTTAAAGGACCTCCATAATCTAAGCCAGCGCTTTAAAACTTTTCAAGAATAAAAGACTAGTTAGCAAAATTCTAAATACATTATTAGGACAGGAATCCATATATAGATCTCATTGAATGTTCCATAACAGAAGGATTTTGTTATCATGTAATCATCTCCATAATCAGATTCTTAGATAACAGAAAAAAAAAATCATAAACAATAGAACATTTTTTCATAAATCCATTGATGTTTGAAGGAAATTGTGCCAAATCACCAACCTTGTTAGGTGACTAAAACTGACAAAATGATATACCCAACATCAAATTTGATTTCTCTCTAGAAACAGCAACTAGATGTTGAAAAAATGATAAAGAATATATCACATGTCTCAAACCTGTTCATCAAGAGATCACGCTCGCCCTGCACTCCATCACCTATGCCATTCCACATGCTTTGCATTAAGGTGATCAAAACCCATATCTTGGTTTGCCAATTCAGCAAAGGATGTAGCTTCAACTGTGTTCATTTGGAGACAAACACACCTTGCCCCTTAAACTGATGTAAAGGGAAGCAATATGTTCGCGTTACATAGCTCTTAGGACCAGTTCTTTTTCATATAGCAAATTTAGAAGGCTCAAAGTTGCTTCTAAGGACATTGGTCAATGGATAAGGAAAACTCATAAAGCCAACCAAAGCAATTAGGACAAGGCTTGATGGTGATGATGATTTTAATCTATATAAAAGAATACTTAAACGGCCAGCTGATTACTAAAATCAAGATAAGTCCTTCCAATAAGCGAAACAAACCTATCTTGGAACTGCAGCAGAGGACATTTCTCTATTAAATTACATCCATCATAAGCTTCTTTAAGAAACACAGTACTCCAAGCCCCCTTATTCGTAATGTAGAAAATTCCATGATTCTTAACCAAGCAAAGTAGCAGCTTACAGGGAAGCTGGTATTCATTATGGAATGCATCTAGCTTATTTGAAGTTAGCATTTTCTCCATCGTCAAGCTCAGGAGCTCATGAAGCACCGCAACAGCCCGTTTCCTGGCTTGCGGCGTGGCTGGTTGGATCCTCCTGGCACTCAGATATGGTGAAGGAAATGCCATTTTCTGCCATTTCTGAACTTCCTCGAGATAATGCGCATTCGGTCTAAACCCAGACGCATAACTTATCTTAAACGCATGAGGTCCCGGAAAATTACCATCTTTTCCAACTACCTTCCTAGATCCTACTTCCAACCTTCCAAGATCCAAGCTTTCTTCCCGGACGGTGACGGCTAATGAAGAATCCCAGCTCTCAAGGTTGAGATACTCCGAACCGTTCACAGATTTTACGGAAAAGTAATTCGGGTATTTGGGAATCAGGCATTCTCTAAAATTTTTCGGCAAACCCAGCTCGGACTGGATCAATTCGATCTTCCGTAAAGGAACCCGGCAATCGATGGACATCATGAGAAGCTTACGAAGGTGGCGGACCAAGATGGGTTCCATCAATTGCTGGGCTCGAGCTTCATCGGAGGAGATGCGTTCCGCCTTATCAGTGAGGCGTACCGAGATGGGGGAGCCTGAGGCCCCGCCGCCTGATACTTTAAAAATGGCGGGGTGCTTCTCGATAAGGGAGACAAAGTTCCATTTTTTTACGAAGCCGACCTCTTTCTCAAGGTCGCGGAGGAGGAAGGAACGCGATTTCTGGGCGCCGATGATGGAACGGAGGCGGAGGAGGAGAGCGGGCTTCTTACGGAGGTCCATCACCTTGTCGAGCTCGGGAACGCGGTGATAGATTTTCTTCTTCGGGCGGCGGCCGACGCCATTGGAGTAGAAGATGGGGGCGGTGGAGGAGAGGCATGAGGGAAGAGTTTTGGGGGAAAGGAAATGGGACTTCAGGAGCATCGAGCATGGAGTCGGATTAAAAAAAAAATGAAATTTGATTGAGAGGAACTGCGCAACCCTTGTGCAACCCTATCCAATATCCATTAGGTTAACTCTAGGTGAAGAATAAGGTTGACAATGAAGTGTAGGTGAAGATCCTCCCATTAGCAACAGATGAAGAGTGATTGCATTTCAGGAATATAAAAAATCTGTTTTTAGACTCAGTAAACTCTAAATAGCATTTTGGGATGTAGTAGTTTTATTTTATTAATGTTTTCTTACTTTTCTCTCATTTTTTTTAAAGCTTAAAGGTGTATGTAAGTTCTTTAGAGCTTCTCATAAATACTAATTACTTTCTTGTCATTTTGTTGTGGAAGGTGAATTCAAAACATTATAGCTCGAAAGGCATTAGAGTTCGTAAAATTTATTGTGAATGCAACTTACAATGCAAAATATTTACTACTTATAAAGGTGAGAATCAAAAGAAGCTTTTATAGAGGTCTTAGAAATTGCTTAGAACAATATTACAATTATTTCAGATGGATTGTTGAAATAGACGATAGATTATTTGATCAAAGTATGTTTAAAAAGAATAGTTTGAAGATGTGAAGAAGAAAAATTATGATGACTTGAAGTTCCTGATTAAAATCTCAACTGCACAACAATTTGTTTTCGTTGCTATGATTTTCTTAATATTTGTGTGCTTTTGGTTTTGATGAATATATTGTATTATTGTACAACATGAATGCACCTACACAAATCTAGAGGAGTGATTGGAGACATAAAGAACATGAATTATTAGCCGTACAATTGGTCGGTCTCATAAGACGCCCGAATGAAGTGAACAAATGACCCAATAAATACCGCATGGTCGCATCAACATCTTCTATTCAGTAACTACCTTAATGAAAATCAGCAGTCGTCCAGGATGAGGTTCTTTAGTATAGACACATAGACTGAAGGTAGGTTTTTTGTTAGATTACGGTGATTCAGCTATTGCCCGATGTAACAATCCTATCGAAGGACGATTCGTCTTCACATTTGGAAGGGGTGATTGAAGATCATCAAGTCGACAGAAGGATGTTTGGCCGATTGAATGAATCATGGCAAATTGAAAGATTTCCAAGCAACCAAATTGGGCATTTACGAATGTAAAACAATGTTAAAGGCAGCTACATAAATATAGTTATGGTAACAATGATTATGGGGTCATAATAAATGTTATTCAGTTACAAATGTGTAAATGTAATGACTCATTAATTATAATAACGTCCTCTTTTAAAATGAGGACAACCAGGTAATTTACCGGATTCTACATATGAACTATAAATAAGATAATCATTTTCAAGAAAATGAACTCCGAACACAATTCTTACTAAAATTATAAAGAATGTTTAAACCAAATTTTCTTTCATCTTGCATCTGATTAACGGTCTACTCCTTTGATGTGATCCATAGGACAATTTATGATCTAACATCCTAAAAAGTGCATTGAGTGTGAAATCATGCTTTCTATAAGACAAAGAGCACGTAAGGGTGAAGGAATACATTAAGGGGAAACCTTTGATGTGGAGTCAGTTCGAGAATTTTTACAACAACAAATCCAGGGTCTCCATGACTGGATGATCGGACAAATTGCAGAGCTGGCTTGAGTAGTGCTCGAGAGAAGGACACAACCTCTCCCACAACTTGATCCATTGTCACCCGAGCCTCAAAGCTAAAAGGCGGCCCAACCCGCTGAGCAAGTGGAGGAGTCACAATACCAGGATAATGTCAAATCCGTGCAAAGGGGAGAACCACAACCAGCAGTGATAGAATTCTATCATCAAATGGACAATGCGTTCGCTATATAGTGGAATCTAAGCCACCATAGTACTTTAAGGTTCCTACCTAGGAACCATATAAAGGTCGAAGCGAACCTGATGGTCATATTGCATCCTTTGAGTCGAAAATCTACCTTCTAAAGATTTTTGACGCAATAAAATGTCAGTTGTTCAATACTACACTGAGAGATTTCACACTCAGGTGGTTCAATGAGCTTCCCATATGAATTATTAATTCCTTCAGAGACTTTAAAAAGTTATTTTTGACACAGTTTGCTAGCGCTCCAAAACTAAGAAAAGATTCAGATTCTTTGTGGTATATAAAACAGGACCAAACAAGGGCCTACGAGTATATGTTACAAGGTTCCAGAAGGAGATGCTCAATGTTTGGAACTTGGAGCCGACAATCAACGAGGCGGCCTTGGCACAAGAACTAAAGAGTCCACAGTTCCGATATTTTTGGGGTTTACAAAAGCCCGAAAACATTGACCGGTAGAAGATCATCAATTCGAGCTAAGGATATTTGGTCGGCCAAATGAATCATGGTCGATCGAACAAATTCCAAGCAAACGAATTTGGAAGTTACGAATGTAAAATAGTGTTACAGAAATATAATAACACTAGCAACAGTCATGGGGTCAGAATAAATGTTATTCATCTACAAATGTGTAAATGTAATAGCTCAATAATTATAGTAACATCCTCTTTTTAAATGGAGACAACCATATAATTTACCACATCCTACCTATAAACCATAAATAGGATGATCATTTCCAAGAAAAAGACTCCCAATGTAATTCTAACTAAAAATACAAAGTGTGTTTAAATCATATTTTCTATCTTCTTTCATACGATTAACACTTTATTCCTTAGCCGTGATTCACGGGACAATTTAAGATCCAACAATTATGAAATACGAATGATGTAATCTAAAGTTCATCGATAATGTATCCCATGTGGTTTAGCATATTTATATACTTTTTTTGCATATATTGTGACATATTTAAGATTTAATCTGAATATCCACTGTTTTAATGTAGTGTTTCTCTCTTATGAAATATGAATGAATAACAAACAAGTCAAATTTAAATTTATAATTATAAAATATAGGAGCATTTCATTCAAAAATTTATGTCAACAATTGCAAGGCCAGCCTTTGTTTGAGCTTTTTTGGGGGGGAATGATGGATATGCTTCACTACAATAATGATATGACATTGTTGTAGATTATCTTTAATCAAATCAACATCATTTAAAAACCTTATAAATATTTCGTACCAACTTGTTCGATTCATTTATGTTCGTGAACAACAAAGTTTTTTATTTTTTTTTAAACCCGGAGTCGCCAGCTTGTTCGATCGTATTACAATTCTCTTTTTCTAATAGTCGTCTTTTTTTGGATCATTAAAAAGGATTTGGAGAAGAGAAAGATTGGAAAGAAAGAAAATAAGATGAAATTGGACAAAGTGGCATAATAATTTAAATTCATATCTATTTAAAAATTTTTACCTCTAAAATTACCTCATCTAAATAGTCATGCGACTTTTTTTGGCACTAGCGGTGTAAGTAAGGCAGACTCGTGATCTGACTCGAGCTCGACTTGATAAATGGCTCATGAGCTGAGCTCGATGAACTAATAAGCTAAGCTCAAGCTAATCCTGACTTAAACTCAAGAGGTTGCTCGTTTAAGAAAATTATAATCTAAATATATTTAAAATATATTAAATATAAAAAGTTTTATCTTTAAAGCAATAAAAAATATTTTTAAAATATATAATAAAAATAACAATTCATTAGCCGGCTCAAACAAAATAATGAAGCCATATTATTGATTCTTATTCGTCAAAATTTACCGTGCGCTGTTTGGGGACCGCAGCAAATCCTGTTAACTCGAAAGCAATGCCGCACGACAAAACAGACGCTGCAGTGTCGCTTTCACGTGAATCCCAGAATCGAACCGGTTTAGATACGCCGAAAGTTCATCCGGTCGGCCTAGCTGGACCGGACGGCTTCGAAATTAGCAAACGGGCAGCAACCCATCATCATGGGCCCCACCGCGGATCACGTTAAAGCTAAGCGGTCCCCACGTCCTCGTTCCACGAACCGACCTAAAAAAGCGAAGCGGCGGTCTAGTCCGACCGCCGAATAAATCTGATGCACCGAGGACCATCGGAGGACGAAGCACCGGAGCATTCGTCCAGTGAATCTATGGAGATCAGATGTGCACGTGGCGTTATGATGTGGATTTATTTGTTGAGCCGTGGGAACATCGTAACGCGGTTCCTATGAAGACTGCAGTATCAGAGCCGCTGAGCGGGCCCCGCCGCCGGAATCAGGCGGAAGTATTATCCACCATTGATTTCCCCCTTGTTTTTTTATTATTTATTTAATGTTCTGTCAAAAAAAAACTTTTTTTTTTTGCGAACAGCTCGTGTTCGGTTCGTTAATTTCGTTCGATAAGTTGATGAGCCGAACATGATTAAATTTGTAAACGAGCCAAACACGAACACACTACTCATCAAGTTTTTTGGCTCGATATACTACTCATCGTGTGTGTGTGTTTCGGCTTATTTTGTCTCGAAATACTTCTCATCAAGTTTATATATATATATATATATATTAAGTTGTATTTAAAAAAAATCTAATTGACTACAAGACTACACAAATTTATAATCAATTAAAATATGGATTGACAAAATAGAATAAAAATTATTAAATTAGATTCAGATGATGTTTTAATATAAGTAATAATTTTTAAATTTTGTTCAAACATTTATTGTCTTATGACTACATGATTATGATTGTTAAAAGTATTATTTGTTCGTGAACAGCTTGTGTTTGGCTCATTTACACCCCTATTATGGACTGAATTAGAGAATATTCAGAAAAAAAAAATTATCTTAAATGAAGAAATAAATAAATAAATAAATAAATAAATATGGAGGCTTTTACACTCATAGTTCGGCTCGTTTACACCCCTATTATGGACTGAATTAGAGAATATTAAAAAAAAAAAAATCTTAAATGAAGAAATAAATAAATAAATATTGAGGCTTTTACACCCATAACAAGAAAAAAAATGGATAGAAGATGATAATGAAGTAGAAATTACTTAACTTCCCTCATTTATGGACGTAGGAGGACACATACAAAATTATATTTATGCCTTTACCTTAATTGGATAGTGAATGTTATTTTAGTATTTTATAAATACGAGTTCAATGAACTCGCTGACAAGTACTTTCAAGTAGGAATAATCTCCCGATTGGTATCTTTTTGGCTAGGCTGACTGATTGAGCCGATGATATTGTTATTTGGGGAATAATGAGTCGAAGGATGAAGAGGTCGATCGTGTTCGTTCGGACGGTTCAAGTAGGAATAATCTCCCGATTGGTATCTTTTTAGCTAGGCTGACTGATTGAGCCGATGAGATTGCTATTTCAGGAATAATTAGTCGAAGGATGAAGAGGTCGATCATGTTAGTTCAGACAAGTTTCTTTATCTTAGTATGGGTGGATAATAACCGGTTTGTCGGTTCATCTACCCGTTATGTTTTATCTTTAGTGAACTGTCATATTCTCGTAGGATTCGTGCTTATAGATTTTTGGTATAAATCATATACCTTTGATCTTATGTATGGGTGGATAATAACCGGTTTGTCGGTTCATCTGCCCGTTATTGTTTTATCTTTAGTGAACTGTCATATTCTTGTACGATTCGTGCTTATACATTTTTGGTATAAATCATATTCCTTTGATCTTGAATTAATGATTTAAATTCTATAGAAAATAATTATGCAAATACAAGTAGAAATATGGTATGCAAGCAAATATTTTAAAAAAATATCTTAAGACGAAAATGCCCTTTCATTTTTAATTCCTATATATTATTTATAAAGGTATTTTCGTCATTTAAAATTGTGCCCGGCATTTACCCGCCATACCTTTAGTTAAAAACGTGCCGCCAGACTCAGGTCGCAAAAGCGAGGGGAACACTCCCTGTCAGGTCGAAAATGGCGGAATTAGGGTTAGGGTTAGGGTCAGGGGAAGAGGAGGAATCGAAGGGGGATGAACGAACGGCGAGAAGAGGAAAGCTCACCTCGAGGTGGGGTATCCGTCGTCATCATCGTCGCCTTCGGAGAGCTCGAGAAGGCGGCAACGATGAATCCGCCTATTACTCCTCCGGCCATTCTTCAGTCGGCGACGATAGCTACCATGAAGGTTCTTACTGGTTTGCATCTGCACCGGGAAGCTTTGGAGGCCGATTCTCCTTTGGATCGGAGCTATCCGCTCTCTCTCCGAGCCCACAATCCTCCTTCACGGTTTTTCTCCATTTCTCTTCCTCCCAGTCCAGATTTTATGATAGTTTTCTGCTTTCGGAACTTGAAATTTGTTCATAATGTGCTAAATTTGTCTCAAAATTTTGCCCTGAATGCGATAGATTTGTTAAGAGAGAGATGAGATAGTTTTCCTTAGGTTTTTCTCCATCTTCTCTTCTTTCCCAATCTCGGCTCTCTGCTAGTTTTCTGCTTCAGGAACTTGAAATTTCTTCATAATGTGCTAATTTTGTTTCAAAATTCTGCTCTATATGCTATAAATTTCTTAAGGCACAGATGATATAATTATGTTTTATCCTTTGGACTAATTTGTGGGCAGAAATGAAATCATTAGAATAAATTTTTTTAATTACATATCATCAAACTATGAATCCAATAAATGTGGTTGTTTTTAATCATACTTTCGATCTTCTGCCCTCACTTTTCCCTATCAAGCAGGGGCCGCAGATAAAGAGAGGTTATGTTTTGTTTCAGAAACTATTTCTTTCTTCCTTAAATTCTTTTGCATTTAATGTAAAAAACTACCAACTTTTTTTATATTTATTTATATAGCATCATGATTGCATCAACAAATATAAAGATTAAAATGTTAATTATTCGTATAAATTTTTTTCTTAATAATTTTTTGTGGATGCAATGGAGCTCATCTGCCCATACCTTTCTTTGGAGAAAACACACTAGGCTTTGCTACACCGAGCCTTTTTCGTTTTATTTTTTTTGTGCTTTTACATTCATACCACTCAATTTCTATATTTACACAGCTAACACCTTTTACTTTTACATTTATACCAACCAAATGTTTAAAAATACCACCATGGCAACTTATATGTAAAAACTGAAGTTTAGCTGTTAGATATGTAAATACATAAGATTTAAGTGGTACGTATGTAAATTCTCCATTTTTTAAAAATTTTTCACTGTTGACTTTAAGATTGTTAAATCATATATGAGTTGTGTTTCAGAATTTGGCCGGGTGTGAGCCGTCGTTTCTTCCTTGCCAGAACCCTGAGCCAGAGACAAGGGCATCTTCAACTAAAAGCTGTGAACTTTCTACACCAAAAGGCTGATATTTTTTCACTTTATTTCTACTGTTGCAGTCATCTCTGTTCTTCTCCAAGACTAATGACTTTTATTTTGGTTTTTTGCATATATACCACTCAATTCCTATGTATATGATATCTAACAGCAACAAAGTAGTAATTTTAATGTTTTTATATTTGACTTTTGAGTGGCATTACTGTAAAAAGGCAAACTTTAAGCGTTAGATACGTAAAGACATAGGAATGGAGTGGTATGTGCAAATGCCCCTCCTTTTTCTTTGGTTTTTACAGATCGAGGACTGGATGTAGTGATAGATGAAGAGCTGGAACAGGAGGAAAGAACCATAGATCCTCCAACTAACACCACTGTGTCTCACAGTCTCAGAGGTTAGAGACGACCTTAAACTTCTGGAAGCTTTTTCAACTTCTGTTAATAATTTTAACATTCATCTTGTCGAAGATTGCCAGAACCAAAGGGTTACTTTCGAATCCTTTTCTTCTCCGAGCGAACCTCGAAGATGGCGGCCAGGCTCACTCGATCTGAACGGCTATGGAACAAACGCCGGAGCTTCTTCATCGCTCCATCCCTTCACCTGCAGTGCCTATTACACAAAGAATAGTTGCGCTCCATCAATTCAGAGCAGATCCAACATGTTGCCGAGTCCCGGAACGCCGAATTACTTCCACGTTAATGGCGGAATCAGTTCTTGTCAGAAAGGATGGAGCTCCGAACGGGTTCCGTTGCCGGCGAGTCGCGTGCAGAGATACGGCGGCGGCTTCGCTCCATTGTTCCCTTTTAACAATGGCAGAACGATGCCGTCCAAGTGGGAGGATGCGGAGAGGTGGATTTGCAGCCCGGTTTCCGGCGATGGTTCGAAGAGGCCGGTGGTGCTTCCGCCATATCACCGGCGACCGAAGTCCAAGAGTGGTCCGCTTGGAGCTCCGGTGTTGATCTCTGGCTCTTCGTCTCATGCACCGGCATCGCCGCAGATCCCCTGCTTTGATAATGGGAAAGTTGTGAATTTTGAGGGCGGTTCGCCATTGCTGGCGGGGGTTCTCGTGACAGATCAGCAATTGTATGGTATGAATGGCAGAGAAAAACTTTTTGGTTTTAACTCTGAAGTTCATATCGATAGAGCGGCAAGTCTGGATTCCTTCGTGCAGCCATCGACTTCTTTGTCAGCCGAAGTTGTTTTCCGAGGTTAGCTACTAATTATACTTCTTCTTCAAGAGTAGTTGAGATGGTGTTAAATGTAAGGAAGGTTTGCATACATACCACTTACTTCCTATGTATTTACATATCTAGGGGTGTAAACGGCATGCTCAGCTCATGTTCGGCTCGTTTATATTTCGAGCTAAAAAAGTGTGTTCGTGTTCCGCTCGTTTGCTTAACGAGCCGAACACGAGCTGTTCACGAACAAAGAGTCCTTTTAACAACCCTAATCATGTAGACATAAGACAATAAGGGTTTGAGCAAGATTTAAAAATTATTATTTATATTAATACATCATTTGAATCTAATTTAATAATTTTTATTCTATTTTCTTAATCAATATTTTAATTGATTATAATATATATATATATATATATATATATATATAATATTTCAAGCCAAAATGAGCCGAACACGAACGAATACATCTTAGTTCGTGTTCGGCTCGTTAACTTATTGAATAAAATTAACGAGCCGAACACGAGCTGTTCGTGAACAACGAGCCGTTTTGACAGCCCTATACATATCTAACAGCTATACTTTAATTTTTTACATATATGCCGCTTTATCTACTTATGAAAACTGCATGTTTAACTTTTTTAGAAGTAATGATACCTAAATTTTACTTTTTACATTTATACCAGCTAAACCTTTCATATAACATAAAAAATACCACCATTCTTATTTTAAAATGTGAAATACAGCTTTTCTTGAAGAGGCAAGGCGGCATATGTGTAAAAATTGAAGCTTAGGTCTTAGATATTTAATACATAAGAGTTGGATGGTATGCATGTAAATCCTCCTTTTGTGTTTTGTATGGTGTACTTATGTTTTATTGCTGCCAATTAATTAACTCATTGATGTCTGGCTTAGGCTTTAGGCTGATTACAATGAATTAGTGAGCCTTTAAACATTTAGTGCACCTAACTTATAAAATTGTAAAATGTAAATCCATTTCTTATTAAGATGTTTGATAAACTTAAGGGAAGATTTACATGCATATCACTTAATTTCCATGTATTTACATATCTAACACCTAAAGTTCAATTTTTACATATATGTTAGCTTACTCATGAAAGTTAAAATAGTGACATTTTTTATCTAATAATATGAAGGATTTGGTTGGTATAAATGTAAAAAGTAAAATATAGGTGTACATACATTGGGGTTGGATGGTACGTATGCAAATGCATGACCTTTAATTATCATCTATTGTCAAAATTTTCAGGATATAGATTTAATGGGACTCGGGAACTAGCCACAATGATGTCCCCTTTGGCTAGGAGCAGAGATGTTGGCACGCAAATGAGTCCTGAAGGAAGTACTCCATCTTCCCCAAAGGAGAAGCCTTCGTCGCTATCTCAATCTCCACTATTTGTTCATACCATTACAGAGTTGCAGAGCAATTTTCCGTGTCTAGAGATCAGAGACGTGCAGGTGGATGACCGAGTCACAGTGACGAGGCGGTCGAAGAAACATATTTCTCGATGCTCTGATAAGCGATCGACAGATACATTGGAATGGAAGAAGAAAAGATTGGAGAATAGAATGGCGGATTGGGAAGTTATAGGCACCGAAAGACGCATATCAAAGTGAGTTGATTTTATTTGCATGAAGTTTTGAAATTTACTTGCTCCTTTTACATGAATGTTGATTTTTTTTAATGCAAATATGGTATTGCAGTTATTTAATTAAGGATTTAAATTATATCATAGGTTTGATAGGGAGGAAGCTAAGATTGCTGCCTGGGAGAACCTACAGAAAGCAAAAGCTGAGGCTGCTCTACAAAAACTGGAAGTGAGTTGTTTCTAAATGCTTAATATTTGCAATTTTATACTTAGCATCCATTTCTAATTCCAATGTATTTACATTTATAACACCTAAATTTAGATTTTCACTTTTATCTACCCAAATCTTTCACGTGAAATAAAAAAATTACCATATTTTAACTTTTAAGGGGGGAAATAGAACTTCTTGTGCATTGGTAAAATGGCAGATATGTAAAAATTGAAGTTTAGGTGTTAGATATGTACATACATGGGAATTGATAGTTCTACAAGTAATTCTTTAAAGAAATTGTGGTTATTTACAGACATACCGCCTAATTCTTATGTATTTATATATCTCACACCTAAACTTTACCTTTTATATTTATACCACTTAAATCTTTCTTGTCACAGAAAAAATACAGCCGTTTTTACTATTAAAAATTGAATTATGCCTTTTTGTGCATAGTTAAAATGTCATATATGTAAAAATTGAGGTTTAGGTGTTAGATATATAAATATATAAGAATTGAGTTGTATGTATATATAATATATGTATATATATATAAATATATATTTGTAATTCTCATCATAAGTAAAAAAAAAATCTTTGCAAGGTTTTATAACTAATTTTATAAATAGCTTTAGCCGTCCAGAACAGACCCTTAGCCCTACTGTGCTGCCATGTAATAAAAAGAAAAAGTTTACCTTCCCCACGACAATTTTTATGCATATGTTCATGACACCAAGGCGCTATAAGTATAAATATCAAACTTTGGGTGTTAAATATGTAAATAAGTAAGAATTGTATGGGTATGTATGCAAATTTCCCAAAAAAAATTTCTATTGTGCATGCTTTTACCCAATCAAATATAAATTTAGTACTAAAAGATGCCTAATTTGATATTTTGGACATTTTGCAATCAGATGAAATTAGAAAAAAAACGGTGTTCTTCAATGGAAAAGATTTTGAGCAGGCTTCGATCGGCTCAGAAGAGAGCTCAAAATATGCGAAGTTCGGTGGTGGCTCAACAAGTTTGCATGGCTCCCAAAACCGGCCGGAGCGTCTCGTATTTCCAAAAATATCGCCGAATGTCTTCTTTTCAAGGATGCTTTACCTGCCAAGGCTTCTAAACACATCATTGTTTTCTTAAGGTACTTTCTACCTCAGTTCTTAAAGTTCTCATCTTTGATGCTGATAAATTCTTATTTGGTAGTAGCCAACATTTTTCAATAATTTCCCTAATAAGCTATCAAAGAGAAGTCTATGGATATTTTTGAAATTACAAAATTTATGAACAGGAGTTTATTTGCAGTGTCTCCTAAATGAAATATTTATGTTCTAAGTGAAATCTTCAGGTAGTGTCTGCCTCAATTCTAAAAGTTTTATATCTTTGATTCTGATACACTAAGCTTTTGTAATTTATATGGTAGTAGCCGACATTTTGCAATAATTTCCCCAATAAGCTATTAAACTGAAGTTTTTGGATAGTTTTGAAATTACAAAATTAATGAACTGGAGTTTATTTGCAGGGTTTCCTAAGTGAAATCTTCTGGTAGTGTCCGCCTCAATTCTAAAATTTTATTTCATTGATGCTGATACCTTAAGTTTCTGTAATTTATTTGGATTCCGCTGACATTTTGCAGCAATTTCCCTAGTAAGCTATCAAACAAAAGTATATGGATATTTTTGAAATTACAAATTAATGAACTGGAGTTTTTTTGGAGGGTTCCCTAAGTGAAATCTTCTAGTCTTTGCCTCAATTCTAAAATTTTCTATATCCTTGATGCTACTTGTAAGTTCCTGTAATTTATTTGGGATTTGCAGCCATTTTGCATCAATGTTCCTAGTAAGCTATCAAACAAATGTCTTCGGGTAATTCTGAAATTACAAAGTTAATGGGCTGGAGTTTGTTTGGATGCCTTCCTAAGTGAAATATTCAATTCTGAAGTGAAATCTTCAGGTTGTCTCTGCCTCAATTCTAAAAAGTTCTATATCTTTGATGCTATTACCTTTAAGTTTCAGTAATTTATGTGGGAGTTGCAGACATTTTGCAATAATTTTATTCTGTTGTATGGATCTTTAGGAGAAATTAGTTCCAGTGAATATAGTTAATGTTGAATCATTTTTAGATGTAAGGTCTCATATTATTTATAAGTGCATATAACTCAGTAATGATTATATATCGTAAAGAGAGAAAGAAAAACAGTGAGAGAGGGAGATGGATGCTAGCCTTGAGAGAGAACTTAAGAAATGTATTCATTTCATTTTTTATCTCTGATGAGCTGGAGAAGTCAAGCTCCTCAGAGGTTCCCGAGGGGCAAGATTTTAGAGGGAGGGAGGGAGAGATGGAGCTTCCATCTTCTTTCCTTTAACCTTCCTTTTATACTGAAGAGAGAGACAATAATCGACATAATACATCTCGTACTGTATGATGCACTTTTCTAATGTTTTGATAAAAAGACTGCAATATGGATGTCAGTTGTGGTCGGTACCACGACCACCCCTAGTACTGGGTAAAAAGATTGAGTTCCAAGTATCAAATGAGGCCTTAATAATGGATTGACATGTCCTTAGTAGTATATGATGACCATCCTTGATAGCTGCCCTCACACAGGTGGGCTAGACTATCCTTTTGAGAGGAAGGAATATAATCGGTTCGACAGGTGGGCTCGAGCCACTTTGGCATGCGAGCTTGGTTTAGCCATTGCGGCAGGTGGGCTTGGTTTAATAAGAAAAAAAATTCTTTATACTCGTATTTGTATGTAATGATAACCTGATTGAATTTTTGAGTTGATGATTCTTGGGCTTTAATAGTTTGGGAAACTTACATACATATCACACAATTCTTATGTATTTA